TCAATCCTTCACCCTTGATTTTGACACAGAGCCGAGCATGTGAGCCCAGGGCAAAAGAGCCTCCCCTGCTGTGAACCAGGGATAGAAGGAAAAGGCTGTGCAGAAAGGGATGTCATCGCTGTGGAGTCTGAGAGGGTGGATATGAAATTGGGAAAGGGCTGCTGAGCAAGGGGACCGCATTCCTCCAGGTGCAAGAAATAGAAAAGGGGACTGTTCTCTGAGTAACAGGGGCCCATGTTCTGGCTCTGCCCCACATCACCCGCTCCTGAAACTTCCCAGAGCATGCAATTTAGATTTTCCACCCTCACCTCATCCTTAGCATTGCACGGAAACACCAAGTGTACCTGGCACTGCAGGTGGGGGCACACGCCCAGACAGGACGCAATCCCAAAGGTCACCGGAAGTCGTTGGGAGGCAGCTGCAGGGAAATGCTATTAAGTGGCATGAAAATGAAGACAGGAGGAGGATTTCAGGGCCTTTGGCCATGGCATGGATTAAAAATAAAAACAGAGTGCTTAAAATAAAAAGTGAACGACCATGCAGAGCAGTGGCTGTCAAATATTAAGGTGCTTCTGAATCACCTGAGGATATTGTCGCAATTCCCACTCTGATTTAGGAAGCCAAGGACAAGGCTCAAGACGGTATTTCCAACAAGCTTTTCAGTGATGACAAAGGCTGCTGGTCTAGCGGGACATCAAGAAATAAGAACCAAGCCACTCATCAACAAGTGATATGCACTGATCTAATAGTCAGAGAGCTAGAGATGTTAGTGATTCTGCAGGACGTAGCCACGCTCTCTGATACCCAGTGACCAGGGGAGATAAGCGTTGATCTCCAACCTCTGACGCACAGGTAGCTGGAGACAAGCCAGGCAAGCAAAGGGCCACCGACCTCACGGAGCAGGAGATGCTGGTATGCGGTTTATTTAGCTATGGTTTCTTCTGCTATTGACCAGGAATTAGATCATTTAACAACAAATGAATTGAGTCAGCTTTTGGCCTCTGCCTGTGCCCGAGATTCATCACAGTTTCAGCTGTTGTTGTTTCAACCAAACTGTGGTTTTCACAGGGGAAAAAGAGGTTGCCCAAATTCTGCTCTTGGTTGCTATCGTGCAACATTATTATGAAAGCCAATTACCAATACACACCTTCAATTTGTGTCTGATCACTTTATCAGCTGACCGAAGTCAGCTGTGAAACACACTTTGATGGAGGTCACACATGACTGAGCTCACACCAGCTGTGTGCAGCTCTGCCTGTGTTTAGATTAGATGCTCACTTGTCTTTTCTCATCTTCTTTCGTCTCCCTCTGCCCCATACCTATCAGACACAGACACGTGTTACTCAGCAGAATATGGAATTCCTGCCATCTATATTGAACCTCAGGTATTTTGAAATCGAGGAGGTTTTTTTATTCCTTTAAGTCTGGCTTGAGAAAACTTGGAAGGGCTCCAAATTGTTAATAAATTTTAACCTAGCATTTTTCCTAATGCATGTTTATATATGCTCCCAAGCACAATGAGAATTGTGTATCATGTGAATAATTTTAAGAAATCTTCCTTCTATATTCACAAGGATGTGTTCACACACTTATATTTAAACATAATAAAATTTGGTTGGCTTCATGCACATGAAAACGTGTTAGCTTCAAAAATAAAAACATTTGTTTGTTTGTTTTTCATTTTTGGTGGTTCTGGGGATTGAACCCAGGACCTCACTCATGGTAGGCAAATGCTCTACCCCCAGCCTCCAAATAAGATTGCTTTAAACCTCAGTCTTTTCAGAGAAGATCAATGCATTTCTCTGGAATTCCACACTTACTATTCAGATTTTATTTTTTAAGCATCTCTTTAGGAAAAGTGAGAAGGACTGTCATTGCCAGCCACAGGTCACAGCATACAATCTATAAAAAATAAATGCTTACAAATACTGAGACACGCCACCGGGACTGAGGGTCTCACACAGAGAGGAAGAACGGGAAATGTTAATTACAAGGTTGTGACTCAGTTCAGAGGACTCCCAGGGCATTGTCTAAATTTGGAGCGAATGTGGCAAAGTGTTGGTAATCTGCCTCTCACTGTCAGTGATCTCTGCTTGTATCCTGAACCAGGCTTAATTAAGACAAAACCTATGAAATGAGAAACATATAACACTGCTTTTCAAAACTTCAACTGCAGAAGGATCATGAGGGTTTCAGGATAAAGCTGGGGATCCGACACGGAGCCCATAGCCATTTCTGAAGCGGGAATAATAGCAACATGGGTGCATGTCTCTAGATGGTATTGAAAGGTACAAAGTGTTACCCAAACGCTGGAGATTATTACTGTTATTATTCAAAAGAACGTTGTGAGAGGGAGGTCTCTCGGTGAGAGAAGCATAAATTTCCCGGCTGGGAAAATAAAATGCATACCTTTGGCAGAGAAAACAACACAGACGTGGGAAGCGAGGGACAGCCAAGAGAAATCAGTCTCCGTCCACACATGAGCGTCTCCACTCGCGCCACTTGGATGTGAGAGGCAGCTGGAGCCCAGCCATGCTATGGCTGTCACAAGGGACTTTCTCATTCCCACAAAATATTTCCAGAAAACCCATGAACAACGGCATGGAGCGCTGTAAAACCCTATCATTACTGTCACTGGGGACACACATCCTGTGACTAATGGTGGACGGAAGCGCAGGGTTAACACATCTGCAGCTTAAGGATCTGGGGTCACCTGGGTCCTCGCCAACGCTGGCTGTCACGGGCTGCTCCAGGTCTGGGGTTGCGCTCAGGACCATTTCTGCACAAGCATTTCTGCTACACTGTCTCAAGAGATTTCAGGAAAAAAGGGCCTTGAGCTCTGGGCATCTGCTGCGATTTCTTTTCTCAGCATAAGTAAACACGTGTGTCCACAGCTGTCTGACTTGGTTTCTTTCCTGGGAGTCATACATTTTCATATGATGATGAGTAAACACTGATCCTTCTCAGCTTTTCAGCACAAACTCTGCAAGCTGCCCACAAGTCTGATTTCTCAATCACCAGTATTACTGAGCACAAACGAAGGTTCACAGACCTAGAGGACACTGTGACTTCCTTTGCCACACCATCTTCCACCTTCCAGGCTCAATCGCTTTTTTTGTTCTTCAGTAGTGGGCCCCTTAGTGCTAGATAAGTACTCAACTAGTGAGCTGCACCCCCAGCATTCTCCTCATGTATTAAAATATTGCTGTTTACCGGCCCCTTCAGCTGGGTTTGCAGGTATTATCTGAGATCTCTAAACCATAGGGATTCATACCCAGCCCACACACACTTAGAAAACCCAAGGAGCGCGGTACAGTGCCGGGTGGCTTGGTCCAGACCGAGTGCCCCAGAACTGAGACAGACCTCAGCTGAGACTGTGCCACGTCTGTGCAGTAAACTCTCAGATCCTGCTGCCTGGGATCTAGGGCAGCTTGGTCCAGTCCAGCCATTAAACTCATGGTTCCTGGCCAACAATAACTTTGTACCTCACGGACACTTGACATCGTTTGATGGCTACAACTACGGAGGTTGGTGTAGGCCAGGGACGCTGCTGCACTCCAGGCCAAGCACAGCGCTGCCCAGAAACTAAAGCCTAGCAGGCTCAAATATCCATAGCTATTGACAAACCCTGTCTCAAGCCAGTGCCAAGATATCCATCCTTGTCTACACTCCCACCAACAGCGGAGAAGGGCTCCTCTTTCCCCACATCCTCGCCAACATTTGTTATCTGTTGATTTCTTGATGGCAGCCATTCTTTCTGGAGTAAGATGGAGTCTCAATGCTGTTTTAATTTGCATTTCTTGAATAACCAGTGATGGTGAAAGGGAAAGAAAGTGCTCAAAAGGAAAACACAACTGGGATAGGGGAAAGGAGAAAAGGAAGAAGGGCAAAAGATTATATGTGTATAGATATACATATATGTGTGTGTGTGTGTAAATATATATATAGAGAGAGATAGATAACTATACTACTAATCTATTAGTTCATCCAAAAGAAGTTTGTTCTTTTGTTGTTTGACTGTTTGATCGTTTTTATGCCTAAATCTTGTAAACTGAACAATGACTTCTAAGACAACAAGATGCAATATATTAACTAGTGTTGATTTTCTACTAATTTTTTGAAATTCCATATTGTTTCTGTCCTTTTTTCATTTTTTTTTTAAAGAAAAAAATTATCCCTCTCAAATACATCACCCCTCTTTGGTGGCTCCTTACTCCATCGCAAATAAAACTGGGCTGAAGTTCCAAGCCTTGGATAAGATCTCCTTTCATGCTTCTGCCTTTTTGTTTCTAGTTCTCCCTTCATTATTTCTCCTCAACATTGGCTCTATCCAACGCACTACACAGAGGCAGAAAGCCTGACCCTCTATCCTGGCTCTGTCACCACCAAGCTCTGTGAAATTAGAACTTGGCTCCAGGATCCCCAGGACCCTTCTCAGCAGCTCACCTGCTCCTGTCCCCCAGCAGGAAGACTGAGAACGAAGGAGAATGAAGATTGTTTATGAAGCACACTGAGGGCAGAGACCCATGCCACAGGCAGGAAGGGAGCTGCCAGGCCAAGAGGTGTGGGATGAGGAGAAGGATCTAGAACAAGGTAGAATATTCCACAGAGTCAGTCACAAGTAGGAGAAGAATGAGTAGAATAAGAAAGGCAAGGATCCCACTTATCAGGTGTGCCACCTGCATCACCTGCCCACATCAGTATACTAAAGGTATCCGGGAACAATCAGGTTCTCAGCAGGACACATGACATGTGTCCTTGTGACAACAGGACACACGAGTGATGGCCACAGTACACTGAGGTGGTGAACAGAGCACATTTTGCTGAACTACTGAAAAATAAGGAGATGACACAAGGCAGGATCACTTCTGAACACTTTGGCAGGTAATCCTACACATAATCCTACATGCCTCTCCCACGTAATCCAAGGTCACCATCAAAACTGGGGAGTACCTGTCATACCTACGAGCATCAAATTCCCAGCCTCATTCTCAGCTCACCTCTGGTCACAATAACGTCCTTCACAGCAAACGACCCAGTGTGAAGAAGTAAGCTGCGTTTGGTTTCCAGGTCTACAGAGTATCTTTTCATTTGAAGGAGTTCTTCAGTCCTTCAAAACCTGGACATTGTAGTTAAAATCATGGAACCAGCTCTTTGGCAGACTCCCTGCATCCAAGGCTATCTGGTGATTTGTCATGATTAGATTCTGATGTGCCTCTTGGGCAGGCGTGTCACAGAAAGGATGCAGTGTTCTCTGCTCTGCATTCTGTGAGGGGCTCACGATTCCAGCCTGCTCCCTTCCTGCTGGCGTTAACTCTCCTGCTTGACAGTTGATGAGTGCTTCTCTACCATAAAGGTAATTTTATTCCCCTTTTGCATTTTATAAAAATTTTATAGGGAGACAGTTTATTTTGAAACTTGATATATTTTCCCCATTTCTAATCAAACTTTCAATTTATTCATTTGCTTATCAATACTCATGGATTTCTGTATTATTTAGTGGCTTCTAATCCTCTACAATCACTGTTTATTTTGATAATCAAAGTGTCCCAGATGTGGCTAGTAGCAGCCCTTCTGGTTGGTTAATTTCTGTGATATTTTGACATGATTCCCTCACTCATCAACTTAGCTTCAATTTTGAACACTGAGGATGATTTCAGGATTGCTTTTACTCTGCCCCATCTCTGGGACTTCTTCAGAGGTCCTATTGAGTGGTAACAGCATTTAGTTGGCAACATCTGATCATTAGGTGAGCTCATTGGTATTGGGACACCACTGTCCCCAGGTATTCTGTAGAGAGAGCTAAGGATGTATGGGTCACACTCACAGACATTCCTTCCTATCTATCTATCTATCTATCTATCTATCTATCTATCTATCTGTCTGTCTGTCTATCTTCTATCTATCTATCATCTTTGCATGCATCCATCTATCATGCATCCATCCATCATTTATCTATGCATTTATTCATTTATCACCTGTTTATATATTTATCCATCAATCTACCCATATATCTGTCCATACATCTACCCATATATCTATCCATCCATCTGCCCATCTATCTATCCACCCATCTATCTATTCACCCATCTACACACCCATCCATCCACCCACCTATCTCTCCATTCACCCACCTACCTATCCATCCATCCACCCATTATCCATCTATCTACCCACCTATCTATCCATTACCCATCTATCTATCCATCCATTTATCTGTCCATCTATCAGAAACTGTGACTTTCCATCAACATCTCTAATCCCATTCTAACACCATGGAGGTAGAATGTTCCCTCCCTTTTCATGTCTCTATCTCCCTTCTCAACATGGAGAAATCTGGCGCCTGCTTTCTTTACACTGTTTACTCATCTGCTCAGCTCCCGGGCACATATCCAGTGCCCTCCTGCTCCCCTCTGTCAGGTTGTCCTCCTCCTTGCAGGATGCTAAACCAGCTCTGCCCCACACCATCGCTTTCCTGCTGGACTATCCAGGAAGGGAAGGGCTGTGAAGAGATATGCCAGGGAGGAAGTAGAGGAAAAGGAAGGGATGGAAAGGAGAGGAAAGGCAAGAGTGTGCTGCCCTTTTTATCATATAAAATAATAATAACAAACTTTAAGCAAGCACTCCTGGGCCAGTCAATGTTCAGATTAAAAACCAGCCAATGACTCTTGGCATTTTACCAGGGCTGTGGGAGGAGGAAGCACCATGCAGGCTGCACCCTGCGGAGCTACCTTGGGACACTGTGGTCCTGATGGTGAGGCTTGGGGCTGCGACCACCTCCCAAACAGCCAATGTTACCAGTGTTTCATGGGTTGAAGTGGAGAACTGGGACCACTGCTGCTGTTTCTTCACAGCCAGGAAGCTGGGGGTAGACTATAGAAACTGTAGCAGAAAACAGGAGCCTTGTTCACCAGTCCAGCAGCCAGAAGCCGTGGGCAGAGCAAGACCCCTTTCCTTGCTCCTGATGTTGGAAAGCCATCAGAGGACACACGTCCACCCAGGGCTCTGGCTTCAAAGGGTTCCAGTAGACACAGTGGGTTTCCATAGATGGTTTTGGTCTGACTTGTTCTTTAGAGTCTGCTTGTTTCTCAGGAGAAGGGGAGTGGAATGGAGGCAATGGCCAATCCACGGGCTCCCCGGGGTTCCCCCACCTGCCTCCCTGTCCAGGTGACAGCTTGGTATTTATCACATCAGAGGCCCTGTGCTTTTTAGGAGCCTCATAAAATGTTAGCATTTGGTATTCAAGGGACTCACGTCTTTTCATAGGTGCTCCATGTAAGTCTCCCTTTTTTAGGCCAATGTCTGTATTTTCTTAAAAGTAAAACAGAAAACACATTATATCAGAAACTGCAGACTCTGGCCATGATCAGCATCATGGAGGCTACGTCGACTTCCTATTCCATCCCCACACCTGGAACCCCTCCGTACGTCTCCCATCTGTCTGTGGCCTCTGGACGCCATTATGTACCAGTAGGGTTTTCCCTCTCCTCCTCGTCTTCCTCCTCCTCCTCCTCCTCCTCTTCGTCTTTGGCTTCTTCCTCTAGTTCATTCTCCATTCACTTTGACTTTTCTCTCCTTGGTCTCTTTTACACTTTCAAACTCCCTTCCCCATTACTCTCACCAAACACACAGATGTATGCAAGAACGTTTTATTTTACTATTTCTTCTCACCTTTTCCAACTCACTGTTGGTGTGGAAACAGTCCTGTTTCCATTCAACAAGCAGGTGCTGACTTGGCCTAGGAGTGGTCAATGGAGTTGGTAGCCGTGGTTCTGAAAGGTGGGTGTGGAGGGCCACCCAGAGGACTCTCCCCAACAGAAGAGCGATGATCTCAGTTTTGGCTATGCCCAACCCTAATTCCATGTATTGATCTGCGCACAGCTGGCTAAGTTTTGTCCTTATCTCCTCAAGTGGCTGAAGGGATGCAAATGGACCTAGCCGAGGGGCTGATGTGTCTTCTTTGAAGCAATGGATAGGTCAGTGAAGCCCCACCTACAGCGTTAAATAACATTTGTGCGCTAGGATAAGTGTAGTCACGTGGGCTGGAATCCAGCCTCCAGATAAGAGGCTATGAATTCTCAGGGCATAAAAAGTTACACATCATGGGGGAAGCACTGGTATGGCCTCACTGTGTTGTGCAGGTTACTCTTTCTGCATATCTTTCCCTCTGCACGTTGCAGAAGTTATTTCAAGGCCCCTACATAGCTCACCCATGGCAGTGACCTACTTCCCACCAATCTCACAGTCACTCAGCCCATGCCATGGACCTCTTCATGATTAATAAAACCCGGGTTCCACCCTGGGTCCAGACCTTTGTTCCAATTAGCTGTCACTCAAGCTGGACTTAGACATCCTTGGCTCTCCACAACTACAAAAACACATTAGTGTCTTTATTCTCACCATGTGTGGAACTTGAAGTGGTTGATGGGAATTAACTTATCAGGATGCCGATACCTTTCCCATGGGATTACAAGGATAAACTTCCCAGATCACAATGAGGTCTGGGGAGGGCTTTCAATAGGCAGGTACAGGTGGGCAGGTTTGAAGGGGAGGTGATCTCTGTGCTCTACCACGAAACCCTGGGGCCCTTGCCAGCTCCTGCACAACTTCCTTGAGGTGCACAGGCAGCTGCACCCACCTCTGGGTCAGAGCTGCCCCCAGGCTGCTGGTGTGGGGTGTGCGTAGTCCACTGTGCCTGAGAATGTCCCCTCCCTCCTCCACCCCATGGCCCAGAACAACATGACCTGAGGAGGCGGAGCCTGGGAATGTCCCTTTGCTCCCCACCCCCATGACTCAGAACAAGTGACCTGGGGAGAAAGATGGAAAGACTCAAAGGGGTGGCTCTGGGATGTGATCTACTGCCTGTCCCCAGAGCGTCCTCTGAGAGCAGACACAGTGCTCGCTGTCGGACTTCGCTGGACACCACACACTTGCTTCCTTTCCCTCTTGCCGGGATCACTTCCTTGGCTCTCCCTGCAAATGCCCCCTCATCAACCACTTTCACCTGAGTCCTCTAGGCTGATTATGGTAGAAATTGGACCCAGGCTTCCAAACTGGGCCTTTATAAGCATAAATACAAGTGTAATGCTCTACTTCTTTGAGATAGGTTTATTTAGTAGTTACCATTTAGGAAAACTTTCTCCTGTACACCAACACGGGCATCAACACTTGTAAAGCATCATGGTGGCCTAATGAGGGTCTCATTTCACACATGATTCCATCTTTTATTTTAAATTTTGTTTTCTGTCTAGCCCATAAGATGAAAAGTCTTTCAAGTTCTTTGGAAAGAAAATAACACAAAATAAAGTTTAAAATTACATACTATTTCCAACTTACCCAATTAGTGTGAAGATTTTTGAAAATTATCTTCTTCAATCCTGGTGAAGGTGAAGGGAGATCCCTCATCCGCTGCTGGTGGGGTGTAAATTGGTCCTGCCTTCTGAAAAGGCAATTTGTCAAAACATGTCAAGAACCTTTCAAGTGTCACAGCCCTCCGGCTCAGTTTATGTACTTTCAGGAATCTAATCCAAGGAAAATAATTTGAATTTTGGATAAAGGCTTTTGCACAAAGGCAATTATTGTCCAGCACTGGAAATAATTTAAATGTTCAAGAGAGTGTGATAATTGAATAAAGAAATAGGTATTTGACTAAAGAATGTTATGTGTCTATTACAAGACATAAGAAATATTTAGTAATAAAATTTAAAGCATCTTAAAAGAAGTTGCATTGACCATCTAGAAATAGTATTTCAACTAGGTAAAAATCTGTCCTTGAAAGAACATAGGAAGGAAATAAAGCAAAACCCAAAGTGAAAATAGTATTTCTGATTGTTTTGGGAAGAACACATATTTTGAGTGATTTTCCCCTCTTTTTTCTTTTCTTCCTTCCTTTTTTCCCTCCTTGTCCACAGTTTGGGGAGTAGGTACATATTCATTTTCCAATTCAAAAACATACTTTAAATTGTCACATAGTCTTCACTTTGGAACTTCTCCAGGATGCATGCTCTTGAAGCTGGCTTGGATTCAGTCATTTCGTTACCCTCACGAGCACCGCCTTTGACGTCTCCTTCAGGAGGATGCTGCTTGCAAAGCTCTCCTGAGACTCTGGGTGATGCTCTCAGGAGACACCTTGAAGACATCTCTGGACCAGCTGTCATGCCTTGGCATGAGTCTGTTTCCCCTCCACAGTGTATCGTCCCACTCACCATGTCTGTCTTGTCCCCAAAAGTGAGGAATCATGTAAGTGAAGGCGTCCTTCAAACCGTCATATCTGTCATGAAGGAAACGTGAAGCCAGAAGGACAAACAGGAAATGCACAGCTTTTCGGAGAAAAAAGTAATGCAAACACAGGAAGTGCGGGAACATGTCCACAGGAAAAGCCAATGCTTACCCGGTGTTCTTATGGAGTATGGACATCCTAAGTAAATCCATGGTGCATCTGGTTAGCACCGCATTAGCAGCAGCAGTGACACTGTCTGCATACAATGGGAAAGATTCTTCAGTGCTCTAATTCCTGGCATTCTCATCTAAATTAAAGTCCCATGGTCCCAGGCGTGCTTAAGCCACCCTGAAAAGATTAAAATAGTCAAATATAACTCTTTAAAAAATGAATTGTAATGAATAGTCATCTTTTCTCATTCTGTAGTCACTGAAAATGAAAGTACTCACATTCTCCTGGTACAAGTGCTTGACATGGAGAGCTTTAGACCTGAGAATAGACATCGTGAGTCTCCGGGGACAAAGGGGAAGAGGACCCCAGCTGGGGCACTCCTGGTAGTGGTCCTGGGAGGGGGAGGGGATGCTTGGCAGGAAGGGTATTAGGGAAAAGGATGAGTAACCCAGGAAATGAGCTGTGGTGGGTCCTGAGAAGGCAGCAGCTGGTGTTTACACACGGCCACGAGAGACAGAGAAAAAGAGAGAGAGAGAGAGGAGGATGGAGAGCCCTGCAGGGGGACTTAAGAGAGTGTGGGCTGGGGAGAAAAGTGCCTTCAAAGGCCCTGGGAAGAAATCCAAGGAGCTGGATGCTTGTTAACAAGGCCCATGTGGTTGCTAAGAGCAAGGATTTGGCCGGAGCTGAGGCCTGGGCTTGGAACCCTATAGAAAAGAACAAAGAATCCCAGGAGATACCAATGCTGAAATGCAATTGTCTGACCCTTTGGGGGTGGGAGAAAGGGGTGGGGAGAGATTCAGAGCCTCCGTCTGCCCTTCTGCTATTAGCCTGCCATTCTAGGGCTCTAATCCAAACCAGCCTGATTAGGTGAGCGGGCTGGGTCCCTGTGGGTTGCCTTTTGTCTGGAAGCTTCCGGTGGCCAGTATTTCTTAGACCCTCTTTGGTTCGAGGCATCTTTGAACAAGAGGTTTTGCACAATGGAAAGTACAAATGGTCAAGAGGTTTTCAGAAACCCTGGGCTTCCAGCATCGCAGAGCACCGTGAGCTTGCTCCACCAAGGCCCTGGGAAGGAATGACCTCCTCCACCTGCCTGCGGGGCGTCAGCAGGCAGCAGGGGCCTGCAGCACCCTAGGTTTGTGACACGCCTCATCAGCCACCCTGCCCAGACCTCTCAAGGAGCCTCGTCTGTAAACCAGAAATCACTTCTTAAAGAGAATATGGAGCCCAGGTAAAAATGAGAGAAAAAACCCTCCATGCTTGTGACTGACTCCTGTTTGAGAATGGCCTCCACCAGAAGAGGGCTGACAAGCTACAGAATCCCCCCAACACACTCCAGCTCCCTGCAGCTCTAACCTCAATTTCTTACCAGAATATTTAAATGGAATTTGCAGCCAGTCTTCCGACTCCTTGAGAAGGTATCTCAATAAACTCTGTCAATCAAAGAGAATTAAGTACATTTGCCCAAGGGACAGGGAGGAGGCACAAATGCATCCCGGTCTTGGTGACTGAGGTGACATCCCCAGAATTTGGTGGGACAGTAGGTTGGCGATGTGTGAACAGAGAACCAGCACCGGATTTGGGCTTGTTGTGCTTTTACCCGGAGCCTGGGTGGTTCACACTAGGGTGTGCTCCACCCCACCCACTGAAAAGCCCAGGAGTCCATGGGTGGCTTCCTGGCATCCTTAGATATCAGAGGTGAGAGGGAGGAGGGTGCCCCCTGGGGAGACAGACTGGGATGGACTTCACCTTGGGAGTAGGGAGGAGGAGTCTGCACTGTTGCAATTTCTCAGAATCTTGACTTGGCTACTTCCATGTGTGTTTAGGCAGAAATGAAATGAACCAAGTTCAGCACTGATACTGTCACATTTCTCCTCTCTGTCTCATTGTCCCATGTCATTCATTTGACCCAGGACTCCCCGTCTGAGCTGGCTGCTCGGGAACTAATCAAGTATTATCCCCTGCCCTTTGTCACTCAGTCACGCATTGGGCACAGGGCTTTGTGACCCATGCAGAGCACCAGTGCTGCACATTCCTGGGAGTGTCTGGGTGGCTCTTGGGTGCTGTGCATGTCGGGGGCCCCCTTCCCTCGGTACTGTTCTCTGCTGCACACTCTCTTCCACCATGATGCTCCTGCCTTGGAGCGCCTGACCGTGGGCTGACTGCCCTGGTACCAGGAGCCAAATTAAACCTCTCCTCTTTTAATGTCTGAGTGGTGAGCATTGTGTCTCAGTGACAGGAAAACTAACACCCTGCCTTAGTTCATTGTTGCTGCCGTAACAAGATTCCAGAGGCTGGGTAACTTCTAGAGAACAGAAATGTATTTCTCGAAGTTTTGGAAGCTAAAACATCCAAGACCAGGGTGATGGGAGATTCAAGCGTCTAGAGCTCAGCTGGTCTCTGCTCCAGAGTTGAGACCCTTGCTGTACCTCCAGCAGAGAATACGGGGTCCTCACACACAGAAGGTGCAAGTGCAAAGGAGACAGAGGCTGGCTCCTTGCAGCTTTTCAGTATATCCGCAAGGCTCCTCCCTCATGACTGAATCAACTCCTAAAGGCCCTGCTCTTAATAAATCACTAGGATTCAACATGGGGACAGGAGCTGTGGTGAGCACCTAGTGTGAATCCCGCCTTTTGACCAGTGGTTAAGAGATTTGAAGCTAGATGGGAAAAAGTTGTGGTCTCCGAGGGCTCATCATGTCTTAGAGATAAAGCTGGGGGGCAAACACCAGTGCTGGGCTGTAGGCCCCCAAATAAAGGAACAGGTGGGCTACGGAGCCATAGAGAAGGGAAAAAAAAGTCCCCAAGTCAGATGCGGGAGGGCAGAGTTGGGGCGTTAAGGTCCAAACTCTTCTCTCCTCATGATGACTTTTCAGACCAGGAGGGAGAAGACCCAGGGCCCAGGGCTAGGACTCAGGTGCTTGGCAGCATGACGCTGACAGAGCTGAGGAGGGGCAGAGGGTTGTCACGATGGAAGCTGACCTGAGGGCTGAGTCTTCTTCTGTAGGCCATCCTGAGCAGCCTGGAGAGCAACATCAGGGCACACAACTGTGATCCCAGCACTGCGGACGGCTGAGGCAGGAGGATAAATATGAGCCCAGCATGGCCAACATAATGACTTAGCACTACCTCCAAATAAGGAATAAATATTAAATAAAAAGGAAAAAGCTCAGTGTGAAGGCTTGGGTTCAATGGTGAGTATTGGAAAAATAAAAGTTTGTTTTTTCTAAAACGTGGTGGTCTCCGTGTTTGTAAAGAGGATAGTGTTACTAGAGACAGCTGTAGGATCCAGGACATAAATGACCAGTAAGTGAAGAAATGTGGTTAGGAGTTTGATTTTATATACTGGATGTGGGTTGGTGAAGATTCTGAATAAGGAGGTGTCAGGGAAGAGAAAGAGAAGCGTCTCTGAGCCAGGGGTACAACAGAGAAGGAAGTCACAGGGCGGCTCTTCACCAAGTGTGGTGCAGAGGGGGATGGCAGTGATGTCTCTGGACACCACAGGAAGCTCACTGGAAGCGCACTCGGGAATTGGAGAGCTTGGGAGATAGCTGTTGAGTGACTACAGGATGGTCCAGCACTGGGAGGAAGCCAGGGTTGCAGGCATCCACTAAAGAATCTTGGGCCCATTGTCAAGAGACAGATGGAAGGAGAAGGCAGTCCCAAGGGCCTTGCAGCTTCACTTCAGGCTTTGACCCAAATTTCCAAACCCTTCCCTCCAGCTCTCCTGCAAATTAAATGTTCCCATACTCCCTTCCTTGACCTCAATCGACAAGAAAGCAAATGCCTGTGCTGGCCTTGGCCAAAGAGTAAATGACCCCCAGCCAGCTGGACTCGTCCTGAGGCAAACCTGCCACTGAGATGGCTCTGCAGTCCGGTGGGGCCAGGGAGCGTCTGAGATGCACACTGCCACACTGGCGCCTGGCAAGTTTACACCACCTGTGGAGGGCGGGTGGAACTCCAGTTTGTGGCTACATCGGAGAGATCTAAGGTTTAGCATAGTTAAGTGACTTACTGTAGTTTAGTAGGGCAAAGGTGGGTTTTGAAATGTTTTCTTCTAAAAACTTTATATTAGTATAAGTTTGTGAGGTGTAATTACATTTGAGGCACCAGTACACACACACACACACACACACACACACACACACACACACATACACATATATAATCTTGATCATTTTTGATCCACTCTTCTCTCTCCTCATAATTCCTTTTTCCATCTCCAAAAAATATGTTTCCCTGTTTCCAACCATCTCACCTTTATTTGACTCTTTAAATTATTCCTATTTTGGGTTTCTTATATCAGAGAAACCATGCTCTCTGTGAACTGTGTCTGGTTTATTGCATTTAATATTATTCCCCAAAGAATTAAAGTCATCATCGTCCAGTGACATGTGCAGACCCATGCTAATAGGAGCAGAGCTCACTGTAGCTGATTTATGGAGACAGCCAAGGTTGCCTGTCAGCAAACGAAGAGATGAAGAAAATGCAGTATACACACATCATGGAATACTACTCAGTCGTGAAGAAGGATATATTTGAGCCATTTGGAGCAAAATGAATGGATCTTAAAATGGTTTTTAAATCCTCATCCAGGGGTTTTCTGCTTTATACTAGTCTGTTTTCAAAAACAAGGTAGAAGAGTCAGCATTCTTGAATGCTGAGAACTAGGCATGCCCATAGAGGAGAAGGGGCAGAGAGAGAGGTCTGGGGGAGCTTCCGAGGGTGAGGGTGTCAAGGAAGTAGCTCTTTGGAGGGAATCTCCAGATCTGCTTTCTCCTTGGATTTTGAGGTCAGGGCCTCAGGGCTGGGATGGCAGTGAGGCTCATGAGTTGAGCACCTCAGCCGTCAGGATTCGGCGGCTGACTGGCAATGTGTCCGCCTGTGTTTCCATGCAAACTGCAAACACCGGAGCTGCCTGAGAGACTTACCTTTCCAGATCTGCGTATGAAGTATTTGGCGGTTTTCAGGCTTCAAGGAAGGAGCGTCACCTTCATAGTTTTTCATGTTGATGCCCTATTTCTTGCCCCATCTGATCTGAAAAAAGAGAGAAAGAAAGACCTTGCCCTGTCTGCAGTTTTTAAAAACTACTTTATGGTCTGCATAATGAGGCAGTGGCCGTTCCAGGAATATTTTGTCCCATAATGGATGCCTGCGATGGCCTCA